CACAATTGTCCTAGTCTATTTCTTTTATAAAGAGAAAGAGTTCTGTCGAGTCGGGTATTATGTCAACAACGAGTTTGAAGGGATTGACCCAACGACGGATATAGTAACGAAGAAGATGATAGATGTTACTAAAGTGGTCAGAACACTCTCTGAAGCACATGTCACGATATTCCCATGCTTCTGGGACAAAGAAGAACAAATCGCAATTGTCGAGGAAAAGCCCGAAGAACTCGGAACTGTTGTGTCGTTCACCGCGGACGGGAATATAATGTCAAATAGTAAAATGGAAGAGGAAGAACCCGCTCCTCTAAGTGATGAAGTGCAAAAGGAAATTCATAGTGCTCTTGGCGTCGACGTGTTACTGAACACACAAAATCAGTGCAGAAAAATGGAGGAGTTCGACGAACTTGAATATTCGGACGACGAGGATGTCGACGTACAGACAACTGCAATGTGCGAAGAGAAAGAGATAAAGGAGAGAAAAGAGGAGCCAATGAAGTAATTTTTGATTGTGTTTTTTACTAGAGTTTTATAATTTTTTTATTATATGTTTATTATTTGGAGTGTAGTTATTTTCTAGTTAATAATTACTATATTTTTTATTAGTAAGAAGCAGTACTAAACATAGAGAATAAAATGGTATAGACAAAGATAAAAAGCTGTATTAGAATAAATAGTTAAAAAAGAAAAAAATAGTAAAAACCCCGATGAGTGATGAGATGATAGAAAATGATGAGATTGAATAAGATGGAAAGAAAGAATGTAAATTCCACAGAACAACTCGCAATTACTTAGAACATCTTGAGGAGTGGTTGGAAGAAGTGCTTTGGAGCAGCCTTCTTGTCAGTATCAGCAGTCTTTGGCTTAGTGACTCTCTTCTCCTTTTCAGTCAAGACGATCTCGATGTGGGATGGTGAGCTAGCGAAAGTGTTAATTGAGCCGTGAGCTCTGTACAATCTTCTTCTGGTTTGTCTTGCCTGGTGGACGCAAATATGGCTGATGACCAAGAGATTTGTGTTGAGACCTTTAGCCTTGGCGTTGTCAACGGCGCTCTTGATGAGTTTCAAGATGAAGTTGCACGATTTGACTGGCCATCTTCCGAACGCACAGTTCATTCCTTTTGTTTGGCCGCTTCTTCCGACACCTCCGTTGTGTTTTCTGAATGGAATACATTCCTTTCTCTTCAAGACGTTGTTCAAGTAGGCTTGAGCACGAACAACTTTCATTCCCTTAATAGCAGCAGCAGTGTTCAATGTGTTTTTGAAGTGGACCTTGAGATCATCACCACGGGCCATTGAGGTCTTGGTCGTGTTTTGTGGCTTGAATGTGTACTTAACCATGTTCTGTGGCGATACTCTTCAAAGTTCGCACTTAGGGTTCTCCACTTTTCGTCCAAAATGATTAACCAGACGTAACTATATTCAAACCTATAATTCTAGTTTACTTTTTTTCTGCTGTTCAAAGGAAGGAGGATTTGAAAGTGGTTCTCTATAGTTCTGATTTACTAGAGCAGTATAGTATATTAGTATAGCACAAGTATGGTATATTAATAGAACAAGAATGGTTTAGCATAGGGTTGAGAAGAAAAACGAACTGAGCAGTAAAAGCAATGCCGCAACAAAAGGGAAAAAAAAGTGTTAAGCCGACGAAGAAAGTGACAAAGAAGGTAGTCAAGCAAGAAGAGGAGGATATTGACGCGGAGGAAATGATGAGACAAATGGCACTTCAAAACGAACAAAAAGCCGCGGAAGAGCCGAAAAAGGAAGAGGAGAAACCAATTGCAAAACAGGAGGAGAAGCCTGTCGAGAAAGTCGAGGAAAGTAATCCTGCGAAGGAAACGGAGGCGAAAGAGGTGAAGAAAGTGACCAAAAAAAAAGTCTCGCCAGCGGAAATGGCGCGCCGGAAAGCGATGGAGAAGTTGAAAAAAGACAAAGAAGAGGAGGAACGACTTGCAAAAGAAGAGAAAGAGAAGGAGCTTGCGGAGGAAGCAGCACTGAAGAAGTTTCAAGAGGAAGAGGCCAAACGATTGAAACTCGAAGAAGAGCGAAAAGCGGAGGAGAAGCGACTTGCTAAAGAGCGTAAGCAAAAAAAAGAAGCGGATGACAAGCAAAAACGTATTATGATGTACATTAATGCGAATAGTAAAGTCGAAGGGCTTATTCGAGAGAATGACACGATAGTGAAGAAGGAGACATCCATCGCAAAAGAAATGAAAGAGTTTGACGAGAAGATGAAGGAAGGGAAGAAGCGGCAAAAGAAGGAAAAGGTGACGAAAGAGGTAGTTGAGAGTGTTGAAGAAGTTGCTCAACCTTTTGAAGAGACGAAAGAAGAGGAACAAATCACTGATGACATGAATTGGGAAGAGATGTTGGAAATGGAAGAAAACAAAGAAAAGGAAATCCAAGAGAGACAAGACCAACTGAAAAAACTCGAAGCAGAACGCGCGGAAGAAAAGAAGAGAAAAGAAGAAGAAGAAAAAAAGAAGAAAGAAGAAGAGGCACTTGCAAAAGCAAGACCAAAGTATCGATCACCTATTTGCTGTGTCTTGGGGCACGTCGATACCGGTAAAACAAAAATCCTTGATAAGATGAGACGAACGGACGTCCAAAAGGGTGAAGCGGGAGGAATTACTCAACAAATTGGGTCCACATTCTTCCCATTGGATGCAATTGAAAAAATGACGGAGAAGATGAAAGAAAAGACCAAATTAGACTTTAAAATACCGGGGCTGTTAATAATGGATACTCCGGGCCATGAGTCGTTCACTAACTTGAGAAGCAGAGGAACAAGTTTGTGTGATATAGCTGTTTTGGTTGTTGATTTGATGCATGGACTCGAGCCTCAGACCATCGAATCGATCAATTTGTTGAAACAAAAGAACACGCCATTTGTCGTTGCGTTGAATAAAATCGACCGATGCTACCAATGGAAGGCGACAGACAACGGTCCCTTCAGAGACTCATTTGAGAAACAAAGCTCTGACACAAAACAAGAGTTCCAAAACAGACTGAAAGCTACTATTTCAGACTTCGCTGCGCAAGGAATCAACTCGTGTTTGTACTATGAAAATAAAAACATTAAGGACTACGTCTCGTTGGTCCCAACTTCTGCTATCACCGGAGAGGGTATTCCCGACTTGGTCACGGTTTTAATCGCAATGACACAACGTTTGATGCTCGAGAAGTTGACTCCAAGCGACGAATTGCAGGCTACTATTATGGAAGTCAAGACCACGGAAGGACATGGAACTACTATTGATGTCATCTTAGTCAATGGGATGTTGCGTAGAGGAGATCGAATAGTTGTTTGTGGTATGCAAGGGCCTATAGTGACTTCCATTCGAGCGCTATTAGTCCCCGTCCCAATGAAGGATATTCGTGTGAAGACGCAGTACAATGTGCAAGAAGTTGTTTGTGCGGCTCAAGGGGTTAAGATATCAGCACAAGACCTGGACAACGCAATTGCCGGGTCATCCATTGCGGTGTGTAACGATGACGACTTCCTTGAGGAGACGAAAAAAGAGGTCCAAAGCGAGTTTGAAAAATTCCAGTTGAATGTCAACGAGAAAGAAGGTGTTTTTGTACAAGCGTCATCTCTTGGTTCATTGGAGGCGTTGTTGAGATTCTTGAAAGAGTCTAAGATACCAGTTGCTGGGATTGGACTGGGTCCTATCTTCAAAAAGGATGTGATGAAGACTTTGATCATGAAGGAAAAGAACCCGGACTACGCTATTATTATGGCGTTCGATGTTCCAGTCGACAAAGACGCGAGAGAGTACGCCAACGACGAAAAGATTTTAATCTTCACAGCGAACATTATTTATCATCTGTTCGACCAATTCACAGCACATATGCAAAAACTCGAAGAAGCTAAGAGAATTGCAGCGGAGAATGCGGGTATTGTTGTCTGGCCATGCGTTGCTGAAATCTTGCCACAATTTGTTTTCAACGACAGAAACCCGATTATCTGTGGTGTGAAAATACTCCGAGGAACTTTGAAGATGGGATGCCCAATCAGCCTTCCATCAAGAAATAATTTGGACATTGGACGTGTGATTGGAATTGAAAACAATAATAAACCCGTCGAGGTGGGAAAAGTTGGGGAAGAAGTTTGTATCAAGATCGAGCCATTCTCACAGTCTTCTATTTACACATACAAAAAACACTTCGACTCGAAGGATTTGTTATACTCCAAAATATCAAGAGAGTCACTGGATTTACTTAAAACAAGATACGGAAAAGACCTCACTCAAGACGACATTCAACTGCTTGTTGAGTTGAAGAAAACGTTCAATATTTTTTAATTCGGTGCGTTCAATGATTTTATATAGTTTTCAATACCTCAATTAATACGATGTTTTTTATATTTCAACTGAACAATTTAAAAGGCAATATTTCTAGTGTCAAGTTTAAATGCGTGTTAATCATTTCAATTACTTAATTTTGTTTTTAATCAAAAAAATGGATATATAAAAATTTTAGAAACATCACGACGAAAATTCGTGTAGTTTATTGTTTATAAAATATATTATAAGTGGTATATACTAAAACAATAAGAAGACAAAAGCGGAAATGTTTTTCTTGTTTGTTTTTATATGAGAGAAAATAAAATAAAAAACTCATATACTTTGGAATGGAAGAAAATGTACAGAGCATTGCACTCTCCCTTGTGACTAAAAACGAGTTTGTCACAGGGGAACTATTGGATAACGTTCTCAAACTATTTCGTGAAGAGATTGTGCGTGAAATCACTTCACAAATTCAAAAGTTTAAAGACGAATCACCTATGAATACGAAACCTATCACACAATTGGTTCAAAACCCATCTGAAAATAAAGAGGACAAACTTCCAAACACGGAAATTATGAGATCCAACAATTATAATCGAACACCTGTTGAGCAAACACAATTAATGGGATCACCAAATACTACTTATAACACAACAACTATCCAACAACAACCAACGCAATTGAAAAACAATCCAATTCCACAACAAACACAATTTGATAATTCAATGGTGACATCAAGAATATACCCAATAGTCGATCAAAACACGCCACAAATCCCTTTCCAACAAACATCTCCACAAATTCAACAACCCCAAATGCAAGCCATCAATCCTAATTTCCCACAATTTCCACAACAAAACCCAATCACTCGAAGCGGTCCAATGTCCTTTGGGCAACCAGTTATTGATATCAATACCCCACAACAATACCCACAAACTTCACAATACCCAACTTACCAACAATATAATCAACCAATAAATTACTCACAACCATTTCAACAATATCAACAAACATATCCTTTCAATTATACATCACAAAGAGAACATCCCCTCGGCTTAAGAACTAAAGTTTACCAACCAACTTTCCCACAAATGAATCCAACAAGTCGACCTTCTGTTCAACAAGTTCCGTCTGTAGTCAAAGAGTATTCACCGCAGCCACAAGTCTATACAAAACTCTCTTCTAACATTGGAGATGCTGATATAGAGCTGATTAAATCGTGTGAAGGCTATTTTAAAAATTGGATACAATTAACTACTTACAAAATTAACTTTGACACAAACAAAGGCGTCGAAGACGAAGTGACAATGACTCAAATGTTTTATGACACCGTCTACTTCAAATCAAAAACTATGATTGTCGTGTTTGCAGATGATTGTGCCTTTGGATATTACTCAGAGAGCGGGTCTACCTCAATGTTTTATAACAGCGACTTCTTCTTTGGGCTTCGAGGAAAGCTGAGAAACTCAAACAACAAGCCAACGCGCTTCTTCGGAGATCAGTTTGGTAAAATGGTGCGGTTCAACGTGTTCAAAGACAAAGAAAGTGCGAGCGGAAAGGATTTGTTTGGTTTGGCTAAAGAAAGAGAAAACGTGTTGATTGTTCGAGATCCATCAACCCAATCTTATCACAAAAATTTGGAACAAACGTTTAAAGACAAAGGAAAAAGAACTTCTTTGGTCACTTTCTTGCCAGAACGAAATGATTTTGTTGCGAGAAGGATTATAGTCCTGTCATTCTAGTGGTAAATCATCTGTTGTCTCATTTTTTTGTATTATATTTAATTGTTTAATTAATTGTAAAATATAATACATTTTTCAAAATATTTAATTTGTTATTATAATAAAAAATGGAAAATGTCATTTGTTCGTTATTCAATAAACTGAAAAATATCAAAAAAACGATCACTTATTACGATAATTTTTTTTAAGATTTAATATAAGAATTATTAACACAATTCGGGATTCATTTTATCAAAATTTTTAATTGGAATTTATGGTTAAAAAGTTATATTTTAATAAATACTTTTTACAACAAATATTCTCGTATTTTACTTCAAATAGTGAGTTTGATAAGAGGATAAGACAAATTAATTAAAAAATTAAAAAAATGATTTAACTGATGCACTTTTGAGAAGATTTGTAACCATTAGATATTATAAGTTAATAATACCAACTGTTATATTATAAGAATCTGTCATTCCATAAAATCACTCAAAAACTGACAAAGATTGCACAAACAAAATAAAAGGAATGAAAAACGCTTCATTCCCTTTAATGTCCTTCCATAAAAAAAAGAACAATGAACTCTATAAAAAAGATGAAACACATCAATGCGTCTTACATCAACCCAGGGGTCATCGACAATGAGACAAAATGGAAGTGGGGAGAATACAAACAATTTCATATGATCGGATATATCAACCAGAGTTCATTGATCATACTGAACGCCGACAACCTCCGTGTGTTCCAGGAACTTGTTTTCACGACACCACCACTCTCATTCGCGTTCTCAAGACTCGGTACGCTGGCGGTGTCCACCGAAACACAAATTACGATTTATCACTGCGAAGATACTCGAACGCTATTTCAACCACCACAGTACGTAGAATACTCTAAGAAGGTCACAAATGTCGACTCAATTGACTTTCTAAGTGTACCCAACGATGAGAACAATGAATTTTTCGTGTCAACTGGCGTATTTATTCAAGTTTTCGAAATAAAGAAGAGAGAGCCAACTCTGATCTTCTCAATGCCAATTGTGAGACAAACCCAGATATCCGCGTGCATCGATGGGGAACATTTCTCAACATGGAGCGATAATAACTTGGTGAAAGTTTGGAAATACCACGCCGTGGCAAGAAAGGTGTTGGTGCAATACATCAAAGCAAATGGCAAAATCGTTTCTGTGACGTGGAGAAAAAACTGGACGAAGGACGCGCCGGCAATGTTACTCATCACGGACAGCGTGATGACTACACTCTGGTATGACAACCCAAGTTCGACTCAAAGTGCAACGTTCTCGCTCTTCTGTTCGACTGGAATGTCCATACCAAAGAAAGATGGGTTAGTCTCGTGGATGTATTACCACCACAATTTGCATAATCCCTATTTCCCCTCGGCGAAAGCAAATGACACTGTGAAGGTTGTTGGCTTTCACAGTTCAACGGGGTGTCAGAGGTTATTACCAAAAATCGATATTCCAAGGAAATTCTCGCCAGACTATTTGGTGCAATTTGATGGAAAGAAAATTGTATTCCACGTCATTGAATTCACTCCAAACGGAACTCCTATACTCGACCAAAATGACCCAGTCAATGTATTGGCGAGTTATAACAACGTCTTCAACTTCAAAGACACAAATGCATTTATTCCAATGTGCACGGAGGCGCTGAGAGGAAACGCGCAACCGACACAAGTTTCTTTGTGCTGCAGATCAGAGGGTCGAAGTGCTTTGTTTTCTCTTAAAAAAGTCGACAACGATTTGCCGAAAGAGTTTGTCGAACCGCAGCCACTTATAGTCGCTGGGCACACTGCCGAACCTCACACAATTGTGGTCCACCAAACGCAACAATACTTCGTATCAATTTCAAAAAAAGAAGCCATCCTGTGGCTTATTGGAGGAGTTCAGCAGTACTTGGGAGCTTACTTGAAATTAGTTGGAGTGCTTGAGTTGATGAAAAACTACTGCTTCTGTGATACTTACGTTGTTGGGTGTGAAAAGAAGAAGGCGGTGGTGTATCGGCTTAACAAAGCAAATTGCCCCGAATTGATTGGCACAACCAACCTTCCGTATGAAGCAACTTGCGTGTGTTCTGTTGGTGACAAAATAGCTATCGGGACTGAACAGGGTGTTTTGTTATACTCGATTGACACTTCCATGCAACTCAAAGGGTCGATTAAAGTCAGGGGAGTAATTAGGATGTCGACAGACCAGGTCGACGCACTGTACATCGGAACGGAAGAAGCGAATTATGTTAGTAAAATCACAAGACTTGCTGTTCTCCCTCTGAGCCTCAAAGGCAAGATATACAGTCACCAAGAATTACGAGTGTGTGTCGTTGATAATAACAAAGTGTCGGTCTATCAAAAGGAAGCTTCCGATGTTTTTGAGCTAGAATGCAACTTGGGGGACGCTTCGGAAGACTTGGTGTTGATGAGCGGACAGCGCTCGGGTTATATTTCAATCGCGATTGGTCGTGGAAATGTTTTAGAGTGGTGGACTCCAACAACGTGTTCCAATATACGAGTGTATAACACTGGGTATGAAAAACTCGACAGCATCTTGTTTTCGGATAAAATTGGAGCTTTGGGAACAACAAAAGAAGGGACTTCAGTCATTGCGACTGGTAAAAAAATCTTTGTCTTTAGCAAATGGGAACAAAACATTCAAAGAGTGACGAAATGCATCGAGCCGCAGCAAAGTTACCAACTGTTCCACCCAAGGTGTTTGCTCCAAATGATATTTGCAGGGTGTATGAAGCAGACAAAAGTGGTGCTGGTTGTTTATCTTAAGACTTTGAAAGAAAACAAGAATTTCCCGTTGGTGTATAACGACGTTTACAAAATATACCACTCCATGCAACTGGACAGTAACCAAACGAATGAGTATATCGCCGAGCTTATTACTGTACTTCAACAGACCCAAGTGAAGACTTTGAGTACATCAGAACAAGGCTGTGTTGCTGGTATATGTGAAGCCATTATTCAGGCAAACCAGATGGAAGGGTTGGACGAGTGTGGTATCAATTTTTACGTCGCGTGGAAGCTTGACACATCAATTGGAAAGTTTTACGGCAAGTTAATAACGCCATTTGACGCGGTGTGGGCCTTCCACTCCGAGGCTATTCCTTTGCTATGCAGAGAACTTTCAGGGACAAAAATGAACCTGGAGGAAGCACTCAATGTGGGCGTTGAGTTCTGGTTGATGAACAAACCGGAGCTTTTAAAGAACTTTTTGTCCGACGTGGCAAAAGTGGAGTTCCTCAAAAAGAAAGATCCGGGAGATGTGGCGATCATTTACGTGCTTCTTGGAAGAGTCCCAGCACTTGCTGCTTTGTATAGAATGAACCAAGAGATGAAAATTGCCGATTTCTTGGTGAGAGATTTCTCTGTCGACCGAAACAGAATCGCTGCTGTCAAAAACGGATTTGTTTTGACGAGTCAACACAAGTACTCAATTGCCATCGCGTTTTTCTTCTTGGGAGAGGCTATCCAAGAGGCAGTTAATGTCGCGCTGGACAAGTTGAATAACGTCGGATTGGCTTTTCTCATTGTTCTGTTCAGTAAAAACGTTGAAAAGTATATGAGTGAACTTTTACTTGTCGAAATGAAGAAGCGCAAGGAGATATTTGGCGAGTTGTTCTGTTATTTGAACCTGAAGAGATACAGTGAAAGTAATGCGACTCTGATGAAACTGACTGAAGAACCAAACTTGTTATACTTCATGGAGTATTTAAAGAACAATACGCTGTTGCGACAACTCTACAAAGTGAACGAAATTGAACAATCCTCATTTGGGATGATGCGACGAAACGTTCACCTGTATTTAAGAAATCGGTGTGCGCCACTTGCATTCCAATTGATCGATGCACAAATCGAGAAGACGGTAACCCCAGAGAAAACACCTTCGCCTGCCCCACCGAAAAACGACGATGACTGGTTCGACGACCTGATGAGTGACACGCCAGCAATTGTCGAGAAGAAAAAAGAAACATCATTAGACCAATGTTTCCCCGTGTTGTCGTGTGAGTTTGACGTTAGTGTGATGAAAGACCTTGCAAAGATAACAGCCGAGCACTTGATGCATCGGTATATAATCGTCTCGAAAACCGGACATGCCTTTACAAAGAATTTTGTAGCACCACGCATTGTACCGTTTTTGGACCAATTTGGTGTTGAAAAGGAAACAACGATGAATATGTTCTACGACATTTGTACATTGACGGACTCGATTGATTTGTTGTGTAGAGCGTCGTGCGAGAGTGAAGCACAAGACATTCCAGTGGCCTATAAAATACAAGACACGCCATTTGTCTCTTCATTTGTCGACCAGGGCATTTCTGTGTTTTCAAACAGCTCAAGAAGGGGGACGGATGAAGACGTGAGAGTCTCTATGAGTAAACACATCAATGCAATCAAGGAAGGAAAACTGAATGTGATTAAGAAATCGCCTCCTGTGCCTCCAAAGCCAGCCTCAAAAACACAGAGCATGTCGAACTGCTCTTGTCTTGGAATGCAATTCATCAACAAGGCGGAGGAACCTCTTTACGCCTATTTGATCTCAAGGGTATTCCCTCCAGTGCACTCGCTTAATGCGTTGACACACTTATACGAAGAGGCACACAGAATATTCCTTACGCACGTTGAAAAGAAGCTGGTGATACCACGACAATTTTTGAGTATGATGATAGTGTTGATATTTGTGGTTTCGGGAAGGAGGAAGAACTATGACTTGATATTGAAACTTGTGACGACACCGAACAGAACAGTTGAGGGTGTGTGCCAAATACTGAAAGAGAAAATTGAAGAGGAGGAATATGTTGAAAAGGAGATGAGTGATTCGGAACAGTTTTTGACTGGTCTGTTGATTTTGTTCACCATCCCTCTGATTTCGGAATTGTTGCACGACATTGATTGTGAGAAAATCGATTCAACGCTGACAAAATGGACTGCAAGTTTAATTACTTACACCAGTTACTTAACACCACGAACTGTCCTTGAGATAGCCCCAACAGAGTTTTCGTTCCGAATATTTTCAAAGGAAATTATAAACTTCTTGGAGAAGGAATGCAAGGGCTTTGAGTCGATGTTGCGACTGTACACCTTGGTCAAAGAAACTCGAGCAGACGTTTTGCGCTCTGTTTTGTCAAAGATTTTTGACTCGGCAAGTATTCCAACTTCCATCAATGAAGTCGAACCACAGATCAACGTGCCGTCGTCTAAAAACACTCTAATGATCGACACCCCACCAGTCAACACCTTTTGCTGCTCGGCAGATAACAACTTTGTGATTTACTCGACAAAGGACTGTATAAAAAGACTCGCTAAAGTGGAGACGTCGAACGACCTGAGGTATTGTTATTACGCGATGCACCCAACGACTCACAAGCCGGCAAGGGTCGTCAACTTCTCTGTGAAGTGTATGGACTCAAATCCGAAATTTCCATATTTTGTTGTTGGTACAGAAGACGGGTTGATTCTCATTTTCAAATATTCACAGGACGAGGCCATTATCATCACTGCGATTCACAACAACATCTCTCCGAGTTTGAGCGGGAACGGGCCAAAAGGGTATGGCATTAAGAATGTCCGATGGAACAGTGTTGGTACTAAATTGATTGCTTGCGACATGGCTGGGTATGTTGCTGTTTATCGATTCACAGTGAACGACATCACCTTAGTCATGTCCGAGAAGATGTTTGACCAAGCTGTTGACGCCATTTTTATAGGTGAGACGATGTTCTTTGCAGCTGCCGGTAATCGTGAATTTCCTAAAAAGAGAGGTGAGTTAGTCATTGGTAATTTACTCCAAGCGACTCCGGTTGTCACGCGTTCTCTCTTCGAGCCGATCAACGCAATTTGTCTTGTCGAACGCTACTCCTCAGTATTGGTTTCTGATGAAATTGGTATCAAATTTGTCGATATCCAAACCGGTCGCATTTGCTCTGAAAAGCCGTTTGAAAAGGGTGTATCGGCAATTGCAGTCGACACATATTCCATCTGTCTCTTTGCTGGTTTGAGCGACGGTCGTATCATTATGTCGCACCTTCCCGATCTCGGCGAAGTGGATGAAATAGGCAGACATCAAACCAAGCCCCGTGGTGGCAACTTATTCAAGTCGATGGCACTCTCCAGGTATTACTCCGTCAACAAACTCGAGATCTTATGGTTTGACAAGAATGCTCAGCCAGAACTCTACTCTTGTTCTAACGATGGCAGTCTGATTCAGCGTTCTATCATTTACTTCCAGTGAATTAATCAACTTCTTTCGTTTGTTATATAACAAGAATATATCAATCTAAATCAAAATTAAACAATTATCAAATAGTTTAAAAAAGCCACTCAAGTCTAATCCATCTTCAAAGCAACAATTCCGTTTCAAGTCGAAAATAATCCTTAGCGTCTTTGTCG